CACTCCGACCCCATCTGGGAGGCCCAGAAGGCGGGCCTGTCCCCCATACAGGGGGATTTTCGAGGAAAAAACACAAATGGTAAAAAACTATTCAAAAATTGATTTAAAAGATGGTCAAAAAATCGTCCCCTGACTATTTTTTACTATTTTTGAATATTCCTCCTGTAGAGGGACAGGCCCGACTTAAGGCGAGCAAGGGCTGGAGCGAGCGAGGGAGTCAGCGGCCAAGAGGGGGGTGTCCAGGAAGGGGGGGTGCAAATCATGACTGGCGGCATGTGCGCGGCCCGTGGGGGGGGGCAGGGACGTGATGAAAGAAGAAGAGGCGCCACAAAATCTGGGGAAATAACATGGCCCCCGCCATGATACCCATCCCCCCCCCCGTAGTCATCACCCCCCTCTTTGCCGCCCCCGAATTCAGCATGCAGGAAGCAACTGCTGGCCGACACAGGTCCTGGACACCCGGGGGGCCCCCCAGCCCTGGCCGTGCAAACTGACGTGTCTCCAGGGAGGGCCCCGGGAGTCCACCAGCGAAAAACGCCCCCTTTGCCCAGAGGCCTCCTAGATGGGGTCCGAGTAGATGGAGTCGGAGGATTGCACTGGATCGCCGATGTATCGCCGATGCATCGGCGATGCATCCAAGATGCATCGGCGACGTCGGCCATGCATCGGCGACGTCCGCGTGAAGGAAACCGGGCTCCACATCGAGCCGCATCGGCGATGCATCGGCGATGCGGCGCGATCCTCCGACCCCATCTACTCGGACCCCATCTGGGAGGCCTGGATTGCGCCCCCGAGGTCAGGGCGAGGGCGATCTCCCGGGCAGGGAGCCCCGCTCCTGGTCGACGGACTGCCACTGCGGGCCAGAGTCGATCTTCAGCGCGGCCGCGGCGGTGGCGACAGTGGCGAGGCGCAGGGCCCAGGTGCCTCCCCTCCTCCTCCCTCCTCCTCCTCCTCCTCCTCCTCCTCCTCCTCCCCCTCCTCCTCCTCCTCCTCCTCCTCCTCCTCCTCCTCCTCCCCCTCCTCTGGGCCTCATTTTCGGATCGGTGTTTGGCCTCCGTCGTTCAGGATGGCGTTCTCGCCCAAGTGCGGGCTTCTTTCTCGCGCGCCCATCCACCCGCCACCACCGCGCCGCACCATCACCACCACCACCACCACCACCACAACCACCACCAGCACCACCTCCACCACCACCAGCACCACCATCACCACCACCACAACCACCACCACCACCACCACCACCCACCACCACCACACACGCACACACGCACGCACGCACGCACGCGCACCACCACCCACTACGCACGCGCGCGCGGAGCCACAAGTCCGCTACGACACGCGTCCGCGGATAGAGAAAATCAGCGCCATGGTAAGGGATGGGAGGGAGGGGTAGGACGTCAGATATGACGCGAGCGCACCTAGCTTGCCCTCCTCCCCCTCCTCCTCCCCCTCCTCCTCTTCCTCCTCCTCCTCCTCCTCCTCCTCTCCTCCTCCTCTTCCTCCTCCTCCTCCTTCCTACCTGTCCCTCCTCGCCATCACACTCCCCCGCTCTCCCACAGGTTCACCCCTCGTGTTCCTCCCCTCCCTCCCCGCCTGCGTGACGACCGGCCCACATCTTTGTCGGCCGGTCACCTCGTCACCTGGACATGTGCCAAGGACAAGGTGTCGATATGAACGTAATGAAGTAACGAGAGCCACTACGAGGTAATACGCTTAGCCCAAGTGGCTGCTCGGCGCCGAGGGTGAACTCTCGAGCGGCGGGGAACGCCAGGAACCTGCTGGGCGAGGGCAGAACTACAGGGAAGTGTGTGCACGAGTGGGGAGTGAAGGGGCAGGGAGGGGGACGGGGACGGCACAGGGCGAGGGAAGAGGGAGAGGGAGACGGGAGGGGGACGAGAGAAGAGGGAGACGGGATGGAACGAGGGAAGAGACCAACTGAGAGGGATAGGACCAGAGGGGACGGTAGGGGAGACGAGCGCATAGAAGAGGAGATGGGAGCAGGACTGGGAACGGGAATGAACGCGGGAATCCCACCAGCCTTCTGGGGCGTGAACGGCTCAGGGAGTTTCCTCTTCCAACCCCTCCTCTTCCCCTTCGGGGAGGGATGTATCGCTGTTCCCTATCAATAAACGCCCCCTCCCCAGGCGACCTGGAACCAACCAAAACCAATGCGGACCACACACACACACACACACACACACACACACACACACACACACACACACACGCACGCACGCACGCACGCACGCACGCACACACACACACACACACACACACACACACACACACCTGTCAAAAACAATACGAAGCACACTTTGGGGCAAAATCTTGAGTCATGCTCGTGAACCCCGCGAGCATTTTGCTTTGTTCTTTGACCAGGACGGCGGGGGAACCCACATATTGCCTGCTTTGCGCGAGGCCACCATCCCTGTCAGAAAACAAGACAACACGCACTTCGCGGCTAAATCTGGATCATGCGCGGCCACCCTGCGATCCCTGTCCATTGGTGTTTGACAGGGACGGCGGGGGGTGCTGGCATGTTGCCTGCTGTGCAGACCCACCAGACACCATGATGGCTTCCCCGCCGCGATTGCGCACTGGTGTTCGACAAGGATGGTAGGGGCCGACATGTTTCCCGAAATGCTGTCACGTGCGCGGGCGCACCTGACACACTCTGCGCGTGCCCCGGACATGGCGCACCTGGCGCGGCTGGACCATGCGGCACACATGGCGCACGTGGAGCACGTGGCGCATCTGGTGCATCTGGCGCGCGAGGCGTGCCTGGCACGCTTGAGCCCCAGGGGTGCCTGGCGCACCTGGATCGCCTGGCACGCGCGGCGCACCTCGCCTAGCGTCGCGCATATGGGGTCTGTATTGGTTCCCAATAGGTGACCATCCACAGACGACCGCTGAACATGCTGAGGCTCGGGTGTTACATATGTGTTGGGAGGGCGGGTGGGAGTGAGCGAGACAGCTTGCGAGCGAGGAGGGTGTCTTGACTCCCCCCCCCTACCCCGGTACCCCCCTCCCCCTGGACCTGGACGAGGCGCCCCACAGGGGGTTAGAGCGTCCTCGGTGAGACGGCAAAAAAATCAGTGATTTTACACAGGTGTTGGACAATGTTTGGCCTCTTAGGGGGGGAGCCTATTGGACCCCCCCTTATTTGATCGAGATGGCCCCCAACGCTCTCAAGAGTGCCCCAAGAGGGCCCCAAGAGGCGCCTAGGAGGCCCCAAGAGGCCCCCAAGATGCCCTCAAGATGTCCCCAAGAGGCTCCCAAGATACTTCCAAGAGGCCCCAAGAGGCTCCCCCGAGGCACCCAAGACGCTTCAAGAGGCCCCCAGGACCACCTAGAGGTCACCAGGACGCCGCAACAGGGCCTGCAAGAAGCTCTCGAGTGGTATCCGACGAGGCTCCGAAAATCATCCAAGAGGCCTCTAGCCTTTCTGTTCGCCCTCCTCCACCTCTTCCTCTTCCTCATCCACCTAATCCTCCTCCTCCCCTCTCTCTCCTCCCTCCTCCCCCATCCCCATCCTCCTTTCTCCTCTGGTTCCTCCTCCATCCTCCCCCTCTTGGGGTATGCCGGCTTCACCACATGATTCCACTGCGTACTCCCTCACATGTCTGATCAAGGCAACTCGCATGTGCATCGTTTCCAAATGGCCTGGTGGGGTTGCGCGAAGCGCCTGGAATACGAATAATCCGCCACTACTCCAAGATCTCGGCCATGGTCAAACAGCTGGCATGCTCAGGCCAGACACATGGGGGAACGAGGAGAGAAGCAGCAAGTGGAAACGAACAGGGACTGATGGCGAAGGAGGAGCCCCGAAAAGACCCTTGAAAACTACATACAAGTGATGAGCTTGTAAAAACTGAGCCACACAAGCTAAAGGACTGATAAGCGTAACAATCCGCCGATCCCCCGCTTGCCCAGGGTGAAAAGGCGTGTGAGACATTTGGCCGTCCCCTTCCCGTTTCCCCCTCTCCAGGGCTCCAAAATCGGATTTTGGGGGGGGTACGGGGCTGGGAGGGGGCCTGGGGGGAGGGCAAACAAGCTGCTCAACGCACCCGTCAGGCTTCCAGCGCCTCCAAAGAGCCGCAAGATGGCCCAAGAGAGCCCAAATAAAGCACCAACTCAGCTCAAGAGAGCGTCGAGACGGCCCAAGGCCCAAAAACGGTCCATATCAGCCAGCGTTGACTCCAAATAGATAGGAGGACAGGAGGAGGACGAGAGGAGGATGGGAGGAGGACGAAAGGAGGACGGGAGCAGGACGGGAGGAGGACGGGAGGATCAAAATCAGGCAAGCGCAAGCAAGCAAGCGGGAGCAAGCAAGCACAAGCGAGCAATAACAAGCAAGCAAGAGCCAGCGATCAAGTGCAAGCAAGCAAGGGCAAGCAAGAGCAAGCAAGCGATAGCAAGCACGCAAGAGCAAGCAAGCAAGAGCAAGCAAGAGCAAGCACGGGCAAGCGACTCATAGAAGTCCGTAGGAATCCATAGGACTCGCCATTGGAAATAGCTGGGGGGTGCATTGGGAAACATAGGCATAGGCATAGGCATAGGCGTAGGCGTAGGAGTTAGGGGGAGGCATAGGCGTAGACATAGCCATAGCCATGGGAAGTAGGGGGGGGCATAGGAATGTGGGGGCGGGGGGGGAGGGAGGCAACGGACCAATTAGTAGAGAACGAGTTAGAACTCCCATGTGGCAAGCCTCTTTGGAAAAAGATGGCTTCGAGACGACACACGAGCCTCAAAGACGGCCCAAGACCGCTCCCAGAGAACCGCCGGGCCCCGAGGCGCAACAAACGCCCCATCCTCTAAGCAAAACCTACATTCTTAGCATACTCACCCCAAGACGACCCAAGAGGGCCCCAAGACGGCCGCAGGGGCCCCCCAGACGGCCCAAGAGAGTCCCAGGAAGGCCCTAAGAGAGGCCCAAGAAGGGTGATACTTCAAGCCTTTCCGCAAGGTGGCCTCAAGAGCCCCCCGACGCCCCAAGGGCGCCAAAAAGAGGCCCCAAAGGGGCTCCCAAGAGGTACCGAAGAGGCCCCCGGGAGGCCCTCAAAGAAGACCATGGCCCCCCAGATGCCCCCAAGAGCCCTCCAAGAGGCCCCTGAGAGACATCCAACGAGCCCCTCAGATGTGTACAAGAAGCTCCTGACACACGAGATAACTTCCAAGACAGTCGCTATCATTCGCTCCTTCTGGGGAGTCGTCGAAATGGCGCAAGCCACGATAATAGTAAGGCAAGCACAACTTGGCAGGGCCATTAAGTGACGCCAAGTAACAGCAACAAGGAACGCTGCAAGCCAACCACGGGCAAACGAATAGCGAGCTCATGGTAAACAGATGGCAAATTGCAAAGAGGCTCCACATGGCAAGCTGAAGGCAAGCCACAGGCTTGCTTACACTGGCAGGCTCACAGAGAAGCTAGAGCAAGCGAAAGGCAGTGGGGAAAACAGACTGAAGGCAAGCAACGGAGTTCCTCCAGACACCAAACGGGCATCCACGAAGAACGCGGGAATGCATCCCTGCAGAACCCGACGAGGGAACGCCAAAGCCTCTGTCCAGTGGGCACCAAGAGGTCCTTCAGAAATCACACGCAAAGCCCAAACAAAAAAACACTAAGAAAACCAAACAAAAGGGCAACAAAAAAGGCCCCCACTGCCACGCCAGAGGGCCTCTCGCCCCGCCCAAGGGGCGAGGAGAAGGGCCCGCGGGGGGGGCGAGAAAGGGAGGACCATGCTGCACGCGAAGGAGGGCGCGCGCACGTCCTTTCTCCCGGCGCGCATGCTGAGCTCCGCGGTCACACCCGCGCGCCCGTGCGCCGGCACTGACTGGGCCACAAGTAGCGCGCCCTGCGTCATTAGCCAGTTGCAGAGACGGGCGGCGGCGCCGACGTCGAGGCGAGCGGGAGGGAACGGAGCGTGAGAGTGGCCCTCCCCCTCCTCCAACTGATCCTCCTCCTCCCTCCCTCTGTCCTACCAACCCTGTGGGGCGTGGCCTTCGGAAAAAGTTGTGCAACTGTTCCTTGTTAGTGGACGCCCCTCCACCGCCAGATTGGGGACAAACCCGGAACCATGACAACACCCCCATCACCATTCCTGTCACACGTTGTGGCAAAATCTGGATCACGCGCAAGCACCGAGCGATCATGATGTACGTTTTGTTGGCGATGGGTGCCGATCTATTGCCCGGCGCGCGCAAACTCATCATCCCTGTTGAAAAATGCACGACGTAACCGTGGGCGGCGGTGACCGATCCTTCTGTGATATCCGCAGCACCCTAAATGAATTAATATGTTCCCACGTGGGTGAAACCGCCGAACGATATCGTTGCCACCGCAACAGATTAATAGATTGAGCAATTCCGCGGGAATCGGTGTGAAAAAGAAAAAAAGAAGGCTCAAGAGAAGCCTCAACATGGCCTTGTTGACCATTATGGAAACCCGAGTGGAATCCAATTGGGATGTTTTTGGGTTCGTGTTCCAATCCTGCTGAGCTCTCATTGATGTGTTCTTTTGGTTGAGATAGAATCGGATCTTGATGGGATCCCGCACTGAGGGGTCCAGGGGCGGGATGCCGCCTCCACGGGCGAGAAATCGACATCGTTTTGCCAACAGGGGGGGAGACGATGATCGCCGCCCACGGCTACACTTTCTGGTAACTATCATGCGGGGGCGCCCGGAATCATTTTTCATTGCTATTCGACACGGATGGTGATGGTGGGGGGGCCTGGCACGCGCGGTGCACGTCACAGGCGTCGCGCACCTGGCTGGCGTCTGCATTTGTCGCCGATGGTGGTCGTTCCGTCGTTACTGAGACCGGAGTGCTACATGTGTGGTAATTATGTGGCGGGAGGGCGGGTGGGAGTGAGCGAAGCGGCCGTCCTTCGAGTGACAAGCTTGATGACTGCACCATAATGATATACACCCCGTCCCCCACCCGACCATGGGCGAACCCGGAACCGTGACAACACCCCCACCGGCCATCCCTGTCGAACCGCACAAAATGCCACTTGCGGCACAAACTGGATCATGCGCGGGCACCACACGATCACGTTGCAGGTTTGTTTCTGACGAGGGCGGCATAGCGCCTGCTGCTCGCAGGCCCGTCATCCTTGTCAAACTACAATACGACGTACACGTTGCGGTTAAATCCGGATCGTGCGCGTGCGCCCCGCGATCATTCTGCATCGTTACTCGACATGGATGCTGGGGGTGTCCTGACACGCACGGCGCACCTCGTGGGCGTCGCCCACCAGTCTTGCGTCTGCATTGGTTACTGGTGTTTGTCTATGGCGGCCCTCGTCTATGCTGCAACTCAGGTGTTACTTGCGTGTCGGGAGGAGAAAACTCGGTGACGCCCCGTATCCACGACGAGCACTGCATTGCAGCAGTGCGACAGCGGTCCAAGGGGGGAAGGGTGGGGTGACGGTGATTCCCCTTCTCATGGCTGGCGGTGCCGGGGGCCCCGTGCGCACGGCCCCTGCCGCTCCCGTGAGCTGGATGCCCCAGGATGGCTGTAGGAGGAGGAGGAGGAGGAGGAGGAGGAGGAGGAGGAGGAGGAGGAGGAGGAGGAGGAGCGAGAACGCCCGATCCCAAATTGCCGCAGTCGGGCAGGGAAGAGGGTGCACGGCCGCGTCGGCAGACGGGGGCGCCTCCTCGAGGAGTCCCAACAGCGATGCGATTGCAGTAAAAGGGGAAGTGTGAAGGGGCCCCAGGACACACACATATATATACACACAAATAAAAATATTCCCCATATTTTCCTATATTTTCTGTGTTTCTGTCTTCCCCCCAACTTCCCATATTTTCCCATATGTTCTTGGGAATCGAAGATTAATTGTGTCTGTGTGTTTCTTTCCCTCCTGAAAGTGCGAGGTGACGGCAATTTCCCTTTCATGGGTGGCGGTGCCGGGGGCCCCGCGCGCAGGGCACCTGCCACTCCTGAGAACTTGGGGCCTACGCTCTCTGCGAGGGGGGCGATTCGCTGGCAAAATCAGGGGGGGCAGCAAGGGGCCCGGGGCAGTGAGGCGGACTCTGGGGCCCCCCACCCCAGGCGCTGCCGACATCGGGGGGTCCGCCGCCCTTTTTCGAGTCGGGCGTGTCCCCCTTCAGGGGGTTTTCGACGAAAAATTCAAAATATTCAAAAATACTCCAAGATGGTCAAAAAATCCTCAAAAAAAAGTCCCCTGACTATTTTTTGATTATTACCTAACAGCGAACACTGATAGGTTTCTAGTGGGCTCAAAAGAGAGCATCTTGACTCCCCACGGGGGTCTGGGCGGATGCCGTGGAGAATCCGGGGACTCCCCGGGACTCCCCAGGGGGGTCTGGGCGGGTACCGGGGAGGATCCGGGGACTCCCCAGAGCACCATTCCCAGACCACATTTTGAATGCCCCGAGCCAACTGTAGGCCACTTCGTGTTCTTCGTGATCCCAGAACACAATTCCCAGGACACATTTTGAATGCCCCGAGCCAACTGTGGGCCACTTCGTGTTCTTCGTGATCCCAGAACACCATTCCCAGGCCACATTTTGAGTGCCTGGACCAACTGTAGGCCACTTCGTGTTCTTCGTGTTCCCAGAACACCATTCCCAGGCCACATTTTGAGTGCCCGAAGCCAACTGTAGGTCACTTCGTGTTCTTCGTGTTCCGAGAACACCATTCCTGTACCATATTTTGATTGCCCGGAGCCAACTGTGGGCCACTTTGTGATCTTCGTGTTCCCAGAACACAAGTCCTGCGCCATATTTTGAATGCTCGAGCTGAGGCAGGCTGAGGCCGAAGCAGGCTGAGGCCGAGGCAGGCTGAGGCTGAGGCTGAGGCACGCCGAGGCAGGCTGAGGCTGAGGCAGGCTGAGGCTGAGGCTGAGGCAGGCTGAAGCTGAGGCTGACGCAGGCTGAGGCCGAGGCAGGCTGAGGCTGAGACAGGCTGAGGCTGAGGCCGAGGCAGGCTGAGACTGAGGCTGAGGTAGGCTGAGGCTGAGGCTGAGGCTGATGCAGGCTGAGGCTGAGCGGCTGACGCTGAGGCTGAGGCAGGCTGAGGCTGAGGCTGAGGCCGAGGCAGGCTGAGGCTGAGGCTGAGGCAAGCCGAGGCAGGCTGAGGCCGAGGCTGAAGCTGAGGCAGGCTGAGGCTGAGGCTGAGGCCGAGGCTGAGGCTGAGGCAAGCTGCGGCTGAGGCAGGCTGAGGCTGAGGCAAGCTGAGGCTGAGGCTGAGGCAGGCTGAGGCTGAGGCTGAGGCCGAGGCAGGCTGAGGCTGAGGCCGAGGCAAGCCGAGGCAGGCTGAGGCTGAGGCTGAGGCTGATGCTGAGGCAGGCTGAGGCTGAGGCCGAGGCTGAGGCTGAGGTTGAGGCTGAGGCTGAGGCTGAGGCTGAGGCTGATGGCTGAGGCTGAGGCAGGCTGAGGCTGAGGCAGGCTGAGGCTGAGGCTGAGGCTGAGGAGGCTGAGCTGAGGCTGAGGCAGGCTGAGGCTGAGGCCGAGGCAGGCTGAGGGCTGAGGAGGCTGAGGCTGAGGCAGGCCGAGGCAGGCTGAGGCTGAGGCTGAGGCAGGCTGAGGCAGCTGAGGCGAGGCAGGCTGAGGCCGAGGCAGGCTGAGGCCGAGGCCTGAGGCTGAGGCCGAGGCTGAGGCTGAGGCCAGGCTGAGGCTGAGGCAGGCTGAGGCTGAGGCTGAGGCTGAGGCCGAGGCAGGCAGGCTGAGGCTGAGGCCGAGGCAGGCTGAGGCTGAGGCTGAAAGTGAGGCAGGCTGAGGCATCCGTAGGAATCCATAGGAATCCTTAGGAATCCCTAGGAATCCTTAGGAATCCGTAGGCATCCTTAGGAATCCGTAGGCATAGTTAAGCATCCTCAGGAATCCTTAGGAATCCTTCTGACTCCCTAGGAATCCTTAGGAATCCCTAGGAATCCCTAGGAATCAGGATTCCTAAGGTTTCCTAAGGATTCCTATGGATTCCTAAGGATGCCTAAGGATGCCTTAGGAATCCCTAGGAATCCTTGGGATCCCATTGGATCCTAAGGCCGTTGCCACTGCGACTGTCATTACGAATGCGACTGCGACTGCGAGAACAGCAGAATTCTACAACTGGATTCTCGCCTGAACCTTGAGGGGACTGGTTCCAGATATGCTTATACACATCGCTGTCAGGCTGCTTTGCCGGGATAAGCTTGATTATGTTTGAATATTCCTCCTGTAGAGGGACAGGCCCGACTTAACCCTGCACGCCGCTCGCACACCCGCGGCCTCGAAACCCCGCACAGCCTCCGCATGGGTCCTCCGCGCTCGGGGCCCCCGCCCTCCCGGGCCCCCCGCCCTCCGCCCGCGGGCGGCGGGGCCGCCGGCCCTCGGAGAGGGCGGGAGGGGGGCGCCCCCGCCGCGGCGAGGCCCACCCGGAAGGGACTCGAGGCCGCCCCGAAGACGCGCGGGAAGGCGGCTCAAGGTTGAAGTCGGGCGTGTCCCTCTACAGGGGGATGTTCGACGAAAAAAAAAAATCAAAAAAAAAAAACTATGCTTTGACCATGTTTGAACATTCCCCCTGTAGAGGGACACGCCCGCCTTAATTCAAGGGCATCCCCCCGGCCCACAGGGGGCCGCGCAGGCCCGACACCCACTCCCACCAGGGGGGGCCCTCGCCCACCGAAGCGGCCGCAGAGTTCCCAGAGAGGGAACTTTCGGCGGTGGGCAAACATCCATTTAGCAAACCTCCCTTGGTGAAAACGGCCTGGGACCGAAACCGACGAACCTGGACCCGCAAAAATGACGCCCGCGACGCCCTCTCGCGAACCGAAAACGGCCTCCTGAATCGACGCGTCAGGGATGGAGGTCTGTCCACCTCCGAGGAATGCGGGGTCGGGAGGGGGCCCCCTCGGGCGCGGAGAAATTTGAGCCGCCCACACGGCCGCACCCCAGTGCACCGTGGGCGCCGCCCCCCGGGCCGCTCGCGGGCCGCCCCCTCCTCGCGGGCGCCTGCTCCCGCCGGGGCGCTGCTGCGATTGTTCCCTCCTCCTCCTCCTCCTCCTCCTCCTCCTCCTCCTCCTCCTCCTCCTCCTCCTCCTCCTCCTCCTCCTCCTCCTCCTCCTCCTCCTCCTCCTCCTCCTCCTCCTCCTCCTCCTCCTCCTCCTCCCCTTTCTCCTGCTCCTCCTCCTCCTGCGCGCCTTCGCCCGCGGCGCGCGGCGCGGGGCTGCCCCCACGGAGCGGCCGCCCTCCCCCCGGCGGTCGGCTCGCGGCGTCCCCTGGCGACCAGCCTCATCCCGTGGCGCGCGTGCCCCTACAGGCCCGCGGCCACGGCGCGAGCCCCGAGGTGCTCGTCGAAGTCCGCCCCCCTCGCGCGGTGGCCCTTTCGGGCTCGGCGCCGCCGCCAGTGGGTCCCGTACCCCACGCGCTCGCTCGCCAAGAGGCCCCCAACACGAGCCCAAAGACCTCCAATAGGCCCCCAAGGAACATCCCACGAGACTCCGAGAGTCATCCAAGAAGCCTCAGTCACACAAAGGCTCTCTGAGATCTTCACACGATGCCACGCTCAACTGAAAAGGGCAGCACCCCTGGGCAACGTCCTGGTAATTATGGGCTGGTGGGGATATTTTTGGGTCAGCGTCCGCGGGCGAGCGCGCCGGCGGCGGGTCCAGTCAAAGCGAGGCACGCAGTGACGAATTAAACTAAAGCAACGGAGAGCGGCCACACCTAGATCGGCTAACTGGGGCCTCACGCAGCAGAGTGGAGGGGGCAGCAGAAACTGAGTCGAACTGCCAGCGTGCAGATATGCATGGCGTCGGAAGCACCAGGAAGTCGGCACAAACAACGACAATGGTCAAAAGCCGAGGGATTAATGCATGGGCGCGAACCCTGGACAACTGCGTGAGTACCAGGGTGGCCGCAGCCAAAAGAACTGTCGGTCAAGGGCTGGTGGGGATATTTGTTTGATCTGCGGCCCGCAAGGAAAAGTCCAGAGGGCGTGTTAATCAGGCTAACTGGGGCACAGAGCCAGATAATTCGTGCAACATGCAGAACAAATTGGGGAAAACAGACAGACAGGCAGCCACGCGTGGCGACGTTGCACCAGCACCCAGACGCCAGGCGCCGAGCAGAGCGACGGAAGGACGGAGGGGGGGAGGAGCGAGGCGACGGAGGGACGAAGAGGGGGGAAAAAGCGGGTAGCCTCACTCACGGAGCACCAGGTGCTCGCCTGCGAGCCGACTCAGGTCCAATCACAAGTGGACACCACGTCACCGTGCCCAGTGTCAGTCAGGTCGGCACACCGCAACTGGTGGGGATACGCGAAGCAACAAGAATAGAGTACCCATTGCCCGCTCAGGGACAGCTGCTACCGCTTTGAGCTCCGACGAAGGGCGAACACAATCGCCTTCTGGCTCGCCCTGAAAGACATTATAGCGCAGAATAGAGCGGGTTCGCCACTCACTGGGCCGAAGAGATGCTCCTCCCCCTGCTCCTTCAGAGGAGCTGGGGGCCAGTGCCTCTGGAGAGCTTCCGACGAGGCGCGCCTTCCAGGACAGGCCAGGGGGCCTGGACTCCTCGCCGGCATCTCACTCTGGGCCTCCATGAGACTCCCCATGGCTGCGTGAGGGCGGCACGGGGCCAGGAAGCAGGCGAGGGGAGAGGGGAGCGCGCGAGCGAGCGCACCGCATCGGCCCAACCAACGGGGCCGGCCCCGAGAGGCCAGCGCCGGAGGCGGGAGGCGTCCGGGGCTCGGCGCGGGAGCTGGAGGCGAGCAGACCGGCCGAGGGTCGGCGCGGGAGCTGGAGGCCAGGGCTCGGAGGCGGGAGGGGGGAGAGGGGGAGGGGGAGGGGGGGCGCGCAGCGGGTCTCGCGGCGGGCGCCGTCCGCGCCGCCACGCTGAAGGCATGCACGGAGCGCGCTGGGGTGTCGCGCGCCCAGGCGCCGACGCCAGCTGGCCTACGGGGGCGGGAGGGGGAGCGGGGCAGGGGCGGCGAGCCTCGAGGGCCAGATCAGCTCAGGGCCCCGAGGGCGGAGACGTCTGCAGGCCAGGACGCTGGCACGACCGAGGAAGCTGCAGCCGCAGGGCGATCCAGACTTCCTCCGCCCCTGGGCGCCTCTCCGGCTGGATCTGGCAGGGCCCTGGTGGAGGGGGTGGGGCAGAATCAGCTGAAGGGGGAGGGACGTCTGGCTGGAATCGGCGATGCATCGACGATGGATCTGCGAGAGGCTGTCGATGGCGAATCGCACGTTCCTGGGCGGGGTTGGGGGACCGGGCCCTCCTCGGCGATGCGTGGGCGATTGGGGGCCGACGCCTTCCCCCCTGCGCCGATCCACGCCCCCGCCCCTGACTGGTCTGCAGTGTCCCGGCGTCCGGGGCCCTGACAGCTGCAGAGGCACCAAACTCCCAGAGGTCCGCGCGGACTTCTCGAAGCCGGCGCTGGGACCGCTGGACCCCCCTCCACACCCCTGGGGGGGGCGCCTCGCACCCTGTAGAGGAAAAAGAACCATGCACATACACCGGCTTTGGCCAGGTCCATCCTGAGCCCAAGATCGGTGCATACGCCCTCCTGCCTTGGCCGGGGAGGCATATGCACCGATCCTGGGGCCAAGGATGAGCCTGGCCAGGACCGGCGCATGTGCACAGCTCTCTTCGCCCGACCTGGGCGCGCCCAGCGCGCCTGGGAGGGCTCCGGCGCCGACCCGAGAGCAGCCGCGCGGACCTCCGCAGGGCTGTGCCTCCGCTGCCCTTGGACCTCCGGGCCCCGCGAGCCTCGCCCGGGCGCGGCGGGGCCCTCGGCCACGGCCTGCCGGCGCTCGGGCTACCCCGTGGGCGGCAGGTCGTCCGGCTGGTCGCAGTCGCAGGGCCCGACGCTGCGCGGCTTGGTGCTCTCGCCGCACTCGTCGGCGCCGACGGCGCGGCCGACGGCGTCGACGCACGAGACGAAGCGGGTGCGCTGGCAGCCGCCCCTCGCCGCCGCGGGGCCCTGCCGCGCGTGCACGCACGGGCCCCAGTCGTCGGCCCGCCAGGCGCCGGGCCCGCCGTCCTGGTCGGCCTCGCCGGCGAGGGGGGCGTCCGAGGCAGCGCGGCCGGGGGCATACACGGCGTCCTCGCACGCGCAGACCTTCTCCATGGCCGGCATCGTGGCCTGCTCTCGCACACGAGGAGGGGGGAGGGAGGGCAGGGGAGAGGGAGAGAGAGAGAGAGAACGAGAGGGAGAGGGGGAGAGTGGGAGAGGGAGGGAGGGGAGGACGGGGCAGGGGAGGGGAGAGGCCTCGCCTCCCCCCCCTGCCCCCGGCCCCCCCCCCCGCCCTCCCCTCCCTGCCCACCCAGCCACTCCTCCTCCTCCCAACTGGTGCCCTTGGCCCTCCCAGCCCACCCGTCCCCCTCACCTTGCCATCTTCCTGGGCCTCCCCTCCGCGGCCCTCCCGCGGCCTCATCCCGCCCCCTCCTCCCCCCCGCGCCTGCTCGCACAGGGACAGGGCGACCAGCGCGCCCGACCCGTCCCTGCAGCCCACAGCGCGGGTGCTGATGCAGTCTGGCGGCGCGGGCGGAGGAGGGGGGAAACTGAGGCAAAGGAGCACAGAGCACCAACAGAGGGAGTGGAGGGGAGAACCAGGAGGAAAAAGAGGAAGGAAGGAGAAGCAGGAGGGGAGGGAGAGAGGAAATGAGGAGAACGGCGAAGACCTCGAAGCCCACAGAGAAACACTAATCTGCGACGGGTACTGCTGCAAAGGGCGCCGCGCAAGTCGCCAATGGCTTCATTGTGGAAACAAGCGGAAAACTAGAGTACTACGGCCAATGCGAAAAATCCCAACTACGAGTACCAAAAGTACCACCGTCTAGGCGAAGCGTTCGAAGGGTGGGGGCCTGCTCTTCATCGAAGTGATCGTGCCGCAACGCCCGCTTCTAGATAATGAAGGTGATGAGCTGGATGATTGAGTCTGATCACTTGACCATCTCAGGTTTCTTTTTCTGGGGACCTGCAGTGGTCGTGCACGCGTCATTGGCGAATCGAGCGCTCAGCTGGTCGAAGCTATGCTAGAGAACCTCAACCTGCACCTATTCATGGATACCCCCAGCCTCGCAAGCGAGCCCCCGGCGTCTCGCCAGAAAAAACCGCGGCGGTATTCACTCCGATTGCAACAGGAACAAAAAAAAACTCTGCGACCGCCACGCTGAGACAAAGACACCCACAAAAACAAGCGGCCGCAGCCAAGGGTCCGAAGCGCGGTTCCGGGTGCCAGCTCTAGTAGCAAGAGTGAGGTCAGGGTCTGCTACCTCACACGAGGCACCGCGAAGCCTATAGACAATCGCAATACAGCAATACATGTGTCGAGATCATCGTTATCTCTGCCACACATGCCATTCTTACCCAAACATTACTTGCACTTCGGGAGTCTCACTTATTTCTAAGGACTGAACTGGGCAGGTGTGGCGGTTTGGCGGCTATGTTGTCGCCGTCGCCGCCCCATCGCCGCCTCGTCGCCGCCTTTAGTCTGGGGCGGAGTGGCGGTCTGGCGGCTATGTTGTCGCCGTCGCCGCCCCGTCCCCGCCTCGTCCCCGCCCGTCGTCTGCGTTGGTGTGGCGGTCTGGCGGCTATGTTGTCGCCGTCGCCGCCCCGTCGCCGCCTCGTCGCCTCTGTCATCTGGGCCTGGGTGCCGGTCTGGCGGCTCCGTGGCCACCGTCGCCGACCCGTCGCTGCCTCACCGTCGCCTAGATTGCGCAGCATCTACTCTTTTTTCTAATAAGAGAAAGACTCTGGCCTCCCTCCCCCGAAACTATCCCATCCCATTTTCGTATTGCAATTTACATACGAATCTGCCCCATCGTCCATCCGAAGTGAAAAATGTACACCATCCCAAAGTGGGTGCGGTATCGCCCCCCCGTTTTCCGCCATCTTCTGCAAAAAAATATGTGCGCACACTCGCTTATCAATCACCCGCAGTTTTTAAGAACGCCTTGCAAACAAAGAACAACAACAACAAAAGAAAACGAAATGCACACGCGCGCGCTGTCGAGCGAAATCATTCAAAAACCATCGGTTGAGTGAGGAAATCAAAGTCGAGTGTCCATATATATATATATATATATCCACATATCCACATATCCACATAGTTTCGCAACACGGTTTCTCAAACCAAAAACAAACAAACAACGAAAAAACACAATCACTTGCAGTCGCTCCTGCGGATGCTACGGGAAACTATAGATCCTTTATAGTTCCTTTAACATTTTTCGGAACACCCCCCCCCCCCCCCCAAAAAAAAAAAAAAAACGGGGTTCGTGCGCGCATGCCAAAATCGTGCAAACACCCTTGCGCACGTGCCGTCGCGACAACCCCTTGCAGGGAAAAAATGTCATCGCGCGCGTCGTCGCGCGCATGTCGGAATCCGTCCCAACCTTCGTTTCTGTAACGTTTCAAAATCGATTGTCCATGTTGTGTGTATATGTGTAAATATACACGAACACACAAACATATGCATATATAGATATACATGCATACATACATGCATAAAAGAGATGTATTTCAAACTGTTTCACAACATCAACTTCCAAAAAACGTGCGTTCGCGTTTTTGCGGGTTTTTCTAAAAACCATGGTTCTTCAACAGATTCATAAAACTATGCCAAACGGGCCTCTGGCGCCCAATGCCGGGATCATTCACGCGCCGTTGCGCGCGTGCTCGGGGGGGGGCACGGTCCGTGTCAAATAATACCAGTTCGCGCGTCGGCCGCGCGCGCATGTCGAACTGTCACCAAAAGCTTCATCACCGACGGGAGGACGGCGTCGCCGTCCCCGGCACCATCAGCATCACCAGCATCGTTACTATTGTCATCACCGACGGGAGGACGGCGTCGCCGTCCCCGGCACCGGCACCGTCGCCGCGCCGTCGTCGTTGTCAACAGCGCCACCAGCATCGTTACTATTGTCATCGCGTCTACCGTTGGCGACGTTGCCATGATACCGCCTCCGTCCAAGTCGCCGACTCGCACTGAAGTGCCTGCTGGAATACGCCCAACGGCCGCGTCGGTCGCGCCGAACTAGCTGGCCGCTGCGCGCGCGTGCTTGGGTTGGCGCGGCCGCAAAGATGGACCAGCCAACACCAAGCACTCATCGCAATCGCCACCGCATGCGTTTTGAAAACCATGTTGCGGGTGGGCGAGTGGGATGATTGCGCGAGCAATGGAGTTGACAATTGACTGCAACAATTTATATAAAAATCAAAAGCGCCACATACAGTTCTCATTCTGATATATATATATATATATATATATATATATATATATAAATAAATAATATAATATATAAAAAAAAAAAAAAAAAAAAAAAAAAAAAAAAAAAAAAAAAAAAAAAAAAAAAAAAATGAAATCCCCCCCGGAGTTAACGGTTCTTTTTGTGTTGCAATGTACATATGATTCTGCCCCATCGCCCATCCTAAATATGAACCCGTAGTATCCCAGCCAAGCCAGTATCACGCCCCCCCGCCATCCTCTGCAAAAAAGCTATGCGCGCACTGCGGTTTCGGAATGATTCCCAAATCGAGCTTTTTTTGATACAAAAAACACGGTTTCGTAACACTGCTCTCCTAAAAGAGCTCACGCGCGCGCCCCTGCGAAATCTAAAGACAACCATCGGTTTCTCAAAGACATAAAGAAAGAGAGAGAGAGAGAGAGAGAGAGAGAGAGAGAGAGAGAGAGAGAAAAAAAAGAAAAACAACAAACAAAAAAAAAAAAAAAAAAAAAAAAAAAAACTGGCGAAAGACCCAACCATAAGCAATTGTTGGTAACGCGTCGTGGGTGCCGTTTTCGGTGGGGCTCCATATGGGGCCACGAAGCGCTGCCTTGGATGGGGGAACCGCATGCGGACTGCGCCACCGGGGCGGGCCTTCGGTGGAGCTCCCTATGGGGCTACGAAACGCTGCCCTGGGTGGGGGAACCGCATGCGAACTGCGCCACTGGGGCCTTCGGTGGAGCTCCCTATGGGCCACGAAACGCTGCCCTGGGTGGGGGAAGCGCATGCGAACACCCCCACTGGGGCCTTCGGTGGAGCTCCCTATGGGGCCACGAAACGCTGCCCTGGGTGGGGGAACCGCATGCGAACACCCCCACTGGGGCCTTCGGTGGAGCTCCCTATGGGGCCACGAAACGCTGCCCTGGGTGGGGGAACCGCATGCGAACACCCCCACTGGGGCCTTCGGTGGAGCTCCCTATGGGGCCACGAAGCGCTATGCGAACACCCCCACTGGGCCTGGGTGGGGGAACCGCATGCGAACTGAGCTCCCTATACGGGGCTGCCCTGGGTGGGGGAACCGCATGCGAACACCCCCACTGGGGCCTTCGGTGGAGCTCCCTATGGGGCTAACCGCATGCGAACGGGGCCTTCGGTGGAGCTCCCTATGGGGCCACGAAACGCTGCCCTGGGTGGGGGAACCGCATGCGAACACCCCCACTGGGGCCTTCGGTGGAGCTCCCTATGGGGCTACGAAACGCTGCCCTGGGTGGGGGAACCGCATGCGAACACCCCCACTGGGGCCTTCGGTGGAGCTCCCTATGGGGCCACGAAACGCTGCCCTGGGTGGGGGAACCGCATGCGAACACCCCCACTGGGGCCTTCGGTGGAGCTCCCTATGGGGCTACGAAACGCTGCCCTGGGTGGGGGAACCGCATGCGACACCCCCACTGGGGCCTTCGGTGGAGCTCCCTATGGGGCCACGAAACGCTGCCCTGGGTGGGGGAACCGCATGCGAACACCCCCACTGGGGCCTTCGGTGGAGCTCCCTATGGGGCCACGAAACGCTGCCCTGGGTGGGGGAACCGCATGCGAACACCCCCACTGGGGCCTTCGGTGGAGCTCCCTATGGGGCCACGAAACGCTGCCCTGGGTGGGGGAACCGCATGCGAACACCCCCACTGGGGCCTTCGGTGGAGCTCCCTATGGGGCCACGAAACGCTGCCCTGGGTGGGGGAACCGCATGCGAACACCCCCACTGGGGCCTTCGGTGGAGCTCCCTATGGGGCCACGAAACGCTGCCCTGGGTGGGGGAACCGCATGCGAACACGGGGCCTTCGGTGGAGCTCCCTATGGGGCTACGAAACGCTGCCCTGGGTGGGGGAACCGCATGCGAACACCCCCACTGGGGCCTTCGGTGGAGCTCCCTATGGGGCCACGAAACGCTGCCCTGGGTGGGGGAACCGCATGCGAACACCCCCACTGGGGCCTTCGGTGGAGCTCCCTATGGGGCCACGAAACGCTGCCCTGGGTGGGGGAACCGCATGCGAACACCCCCACTGGGGCCTTCGGTGGAGCTCCCTATGGGGCTACGAAACGCTGCCCTGGGTGGGGGAACCGCATGCGAACACCCCCACTGGGGCCTTCGGTGGAGCTCCCTATGGGGCCACGAAACGCTGCCCTGGGTGGGGGAACCGCATGCGAACACCCCCACTGGGGCCTTCGGTGGAGCTCCCTATGGGGCCACGAAACGCTGCCCTGGGTGGGGGAACCGCATGCGAACACCCCCACTGGGGCCTTCGGTGG